GTTTACAATGAAAGAAATCACTTTTAGAAATCTTTATTTCATTGTAATTATTGTTGATATTATTTTATAATATTTTATACTATTTTATAATATTTTTTTATAATATTCTTTATAATACCCATTGAAAGAAATCGCTTTTAGAAATCTTTATTTCATTGTAATTATTGTTGATATTATTTTATAATATTTATCAATATTTACATGGACATGTGTATACATATGTAAAACAATTTCTCTGAATTACTTAAAAAAGATTTAACTTTAGTTAAGAAACGCGTTGCACAACCGAATTTCTCAAAGTGTGATAGATATTTTCTTAACTTAAATCAATCGGAAGCCTGACGTTTTAAATTAATTTTATAGGTATATGAGATGAATATAATACGAGGCTGTTGAACGAACAAAAGTTCCGCGAAATGATTACCAGATTCGGTAAAGCGAAAGCACGATTATGTGTTCGCGGGCTTCAGGCAGAAAATATAACGACTCGTTCAGACTGGCGGAACGGTAATTTTGCTAATCTTTTAATCCCTGCCCCCGCTTTCCAACCACGTAAATCCCCGTTTGATGTCGCGGCCACCATTTCTCGGACTCGTTTACCTTGCAACGCGTTCTGCCCGCGTTCTCACGTTCGTTTCTTTCGCATTGAAAACTTCACATCCCATATTGTCGTCAACATCGCGAATAGTGTGTTCATATGAAAATTTCCCCAGCAGAACGGTTTTTCGACGAAAAATATTTGACGTGAAAGTTTCACAGTTTCGAGGGGCAGTCGCTTTTTATTTGTTAGATGTCATCGAGATCAAGAACGACAGAAAATTTTTTCTCTTATAGACTGCCACTCTGTGATGTGAAAGAAGAAGAAGGAACTTTGTTTTCTATTGCCTTTTGAAAAGATATTTGATAGGACAGGAACTTGCAGCGATTTATTAATCTGTATTCTTTGTAACTGTCATTCCTCCACCAATTATTATAGTTTATATATGAAACTATTCCGTGCAGCGACAATCGGAGTATTACAGATGAATCATGAAATACTTTTTTCATGCCAATTTCACCTCATCTCGTGTTATTCTTTTGTTTAAGTATCATTACATATCAAATTTTTATCAAACTCGACATCGGATTTTTATTTTTATTACGATGGCTTATCGAAGACAAATCTGTAGAGAAGCTTGATTTTCAAAGAAGATGAACATGATCTGCAAAGTGGTTAGTTTCGAGCTCGAAATCTATATCAATGCTGTCAATTATGTTCGTATAAAAATTGAATCTCTGGAACCCGCGAACCTGTCCTTCATCAGGATCAGTCGATCACGTGCATTCGTTTAAATATGCTACCTCGTCTCGTCTCGTCTCGTCTCGTCTCGGACGAACTTATATAGTTAGACTTTGACCACGCGATCGTGGTGGAAATTAGACAGCGCCACGTGGAAGACCTCTGAGGCGCCTTAACGATACTCATTAACGAAATTAACGGTGACGGGGCGCGAGTTTCGCGCCACGGTGGTCCGACCTAGCTTCTTGCTCTTCCAGCTTCAATCTCTCCCCATGGTCCTTTCCGCGGTCTTCTCTGACGGCCGTCGTCATCGTCGTCGTCGTGCGTTTCCCTTTGAGGCGCCACTACACCTAGCCGCATATCTAGCTACGTACCCACTTTGCCTGCCACTCGCCGCGACAGAAGTGCGCTGACAGAGAGAAGGGTGGCCAAGAGGTAGAGAGAAACAGGGAGGAAAGAGTTCAAGGGAGAGAGATAGTGTGAAACACAGGGTGAGGAGGCGAAGGATGGATACGATGCGAAAAGAGGGAAAGTTTCGCATGACAAATTATTACGTACGTTTGACTTTTTTTATAAGGTGTTTGAAAAAAGGGGGTTGCAGAAGTTGATGAACATCAAACAAGGAAAGAATCATTACATAAGAAATTCGATAATTTTGCATGTTTTGTTTAACGTGTCTGAACAATTTGACCCAATTTTTATCGAGAAATATCGCATCCTTGGATAACTCTCAGAGAATTTATCAGAAGTTATCAACCGATGGAACGTTTATTCGTTGAGAAACTTGTGCGAACCAAGAACATAACTTGGAAATTATCTGTTGATAATCTTGGAGGTTTGTTCAACCTGTGTGAATAATTTGAATCGATCGTCGCGTGCAAGTATCGCACTCTCGCGAGCAGAAAGGGATTCTCAAGGTTTCTTTTGAAACGTTTGAAGTGTAAAGTCCCATTTTGAAATCTGATTTACCGGCCGAGTCTACCGGGACTAATTGTCTCCGTTCGTCTAATATTTTCATCCGGCTCCGTTCACGCTGGCTCGTTTAATAGGAAAATGAAAATGTAGCTGCGATACGAGCGACTTTCGACGAGGGACAGGGGATGGAATTAGTCGCGAACGTGGCGGCATGTCGCGAATTAAAAAGCTCGACGAAGTTCCTCGCCAGTCGTCGCGGCGCTAAGTGCTTCCTTCCCCTTTCACGCGGTGCGGAGCCCGAAGCTTTTTGCCGAAGCATCACCACCACCGTCGTCATCGTCGTCGTCTACCTATATTCGTCTACGACGATTCGTTCACACACTGTTCACTCTCTCTTTCTCTCTTCTCGTTCTTTGTTCCTCTTCTCACCCATCTCTCTCTCTCTCTCTCTCTCTCTCTCTCTCTCTCTTTCGCTAGGAACCGGCGTCGTTAAAAGGAATTTTAATCACATTCTTCGCGACTGAAGTGACGATAAGAACGGGTTCAGGCCTGTGACGAGGTTCGTGAGGTTACGCGTGTAGAGGGTGGCTACCCTGCCTTTGTCGGGCTGGACGGTGGGCGCCATTGTTGCTTGGAAACTCGAGGACTTTCCACTCTTTTCTCCGAAAGCTTTCGCTTTCTTTGGCGAATTTTTCGTAGGAAAAGCTACGGTTCTCACCGAGGCCGATAATGGCTATTTGATGGCTGGTCTTACTCGGGAGATTTTGCAGCTCTCTGTTCAGTCGAGGGATAAACTTTCCTGCTAAACTTTGGTACCTTTTTTCATTT